TTTTTGGTACTCCCTCTGTTCACTTGTTGCTTGACAGCTTATGATTCTTGAATCAAATTGTTCCTTAGCACTATGTTTGGTTCAAGGAATTTGAGAGGGAACGAAAAAGAAAACGAGATAGAAAATATTTTTCTTGCTTGGTTAGAGAAAAAAGAAAAGAAAAGTGGAAGGAAAAGAGAATGAGAAGGCAAAATGTACTAATAGTAATAGGAAGGAAAACTAAATTCTTCCTATTTTGGTGAGGAATATGAGGGAAAATCACTTTCTTTTCTTTTCCTACTAAATTCCTTGAACCAAACATAGTTTAAATGTGAGACCTAAATTTTTCTCATCTCCCCTTAGAGGTGTGAAAAAGGGGGAAGTTGGGAAAATTTCAAGGTCCCATTTAAAATTGTTTTGTACAAATGTATGGAGGACCGTATCACCTCCAATAAACTCTACCCTTTGCTTATCTTTTTAATTTTCCCTACGTGAGGATAGAGTCAGTATTTTAATTTTTTAACTCTATACCATTTGTCATATAAAATGATTCAAAAATAATTTTACTCAAACGTTATAAACCAAAACACGGAGACAATCTTATATAACATTACTCAACATTTTTATGTAATGTATGCTTCTAACCATGGTTTGTTTTCAGGCGATTCCGACATTCTCAGGAGCATGCCGGGCGACCAGTAATTTTGTTAAGATCGTGCTTTCCGGTGATTGCTGTTTTCCCCTCTAAACTGTGTCATTTTAATTTTAATTGTGGTTCTTCAATGCTAGTTGGTTGACATGTACCATCACACCATCCAGATTCTGGAAGTGTTTTGATGTTTGGTTGATGAATTTTGCTTCTTGGATGAAATGATGAACTGTGCCTTTCCTTTAATTATTTATCTTTATTTACATACGAGTAGCATTATGTGTCATAAACATGACTTTTATGAACTATTTTCATCATCCAAAAACTTGTCCTTACAAAACCCCCCCAAACAGGTACCTGAGTATTCTTTATGTGCTCTATTTGGCCAGTTTTATTCTGGTGCTCTTGTGTAGAAAATGTATTTTCTACAATACTAGCCTTAACATCCCCTTCTTTAAGTTCGGACATGAGATGTTCGAAACCGGATGAAATGTCAAAAATTCATTACAAAAATAATTAATTATTGATTAGTTCGGACTCCGGTCGAAATGACTAATGAAACTAATCTCAGATCTCCACGTGTGCTATCTAAGTTCATATCTGCAATACGTGCTAGAAGTGGTAAACTGTGTCTAATCAACTTTTTTGAATTAGGTCCATCTTTTCCTCTCTGAGTAGGGCTCTTCAATGGCCTAAGACCGAGTTGAACTTGATTGAACCAGACTGGAGCGAAGACCGAACTAAACAAAATCATGGAGTAATGAGTCATGACCGGACTTAAATCTATTCGGATTCGGATTGGAACATACCAAAATACTTTGAACCGATTGGACAGATAAAAATTTTTTTATATAAATAATTTTGATCTATTAATTATGTTTTAGGCTTTCGTGCAAATTATTTATATGATTTTCTTTGTAAAAAATAAATAAAATAAGTACCCTTCCAAAAAGAAATTGAAATATCCTTTTCATTTTTAATACTCCGTACAAAGTATTAAAAAACCCTAGGGGAAAAAATTTGCTTTATTTTTCTATTTTTTTCATTTATTTTGCTTTGTATTTTCTTTTTTCAGGAGTTTTTCTTATTTCATTTATTTTTTAATGTATAAAAAAAAATGTTCTAAAAGAAGAGAAAGAAAAAAAGAAACAAAAAGAAAGACATTATAAATATAACCATGAAACATTATTGACAAAATAGAAGAAATATACAGAGTACTTCGTATTTATTAGCGCCTATAGATAAAGTATTGGATGAAATGTTTTTACCCTGTCCTTATAATAAAATTTAAAAGTTTTTGAGTTCTTTCTAGAAATATTTCATTTAATTCTTTTCAAGTAATTTGATTGTATATGAACTCTTTTTTATTAAGGTCTATTTTTAATATATGAACACTTTTATTTTATACTTCATATTTGTATTTTTTTGCACGGCATTTTTTTTTGTTAATTTGGAAAAGACCATGCATCGTGTATACCACTTGGTATATATTATTATATACAATTTGTACACAATAACTTTGTACTAGCATTTTGATAGTTTAGATTAGTTATTTTGTGATTGTATTAATAATTTGTGTAAATGTAAGCTATCAAAGTTTTAATGTAAAGGTGTTATTTATAAAACGAAAATGTTCGAGTCGTAAACTTGCTTTTTGTGAATTTTAAATTAAAATATCTTTTAGAAAAAATTTACACCAATACTCCTAGAATTGCACGGGTTCACATAAATATTCCAAGATTTTTAAAATGACACTAATGCTCCCGAAATTTTCATATAATCACATCGTTGCTCCGAGAATTGAATTTTGTTTACTTCTATGCTCCAAATGTTGGGCACTGATGTAAAACATACCCAGAGTTAAGTAAATTTTTCGGAGTACTTACTTTTCGGAGTATTTATGTAAAACTGGATAATTCTCAGAGTATTTGTGTAAATTTTACCTATCTTTTATTACGGAGTATTTGAATAATCCGTATATCTTATTTTTTGTAAAATATTAAAAATACAAATTTGTACTAAATTTTGTCTAGTTAATTGATGTTAAGTAATAAATAAGTAGCATTAATTATTGAATTGGAAAAGTAAATTGGAGGGGGACTTTCTCTTTGCTCTTTTCATTCAGAGCTACCTGCAATTCGTCTTTAGCTTCTTCTAGCTCTCACATCTCAATCAAATCAGCTAAGTCAATTGATATGGCCAAGGTCTATGATCGTATGGAGTGGAGTTTCCTCCGACGGATGATGGAGAGTCTGGGCTTTGCCGAATGGTGGATTCGACTTATTATGCTCTGCGTCACCACGGTGCGCTACCGAATTCTTATTAATGGTGAACTTTCTAACTATATTATTCCTTCTCGAGGCCTTAGGCAAGGGGATCCCCTTAGCCCTTATCTTTTTATTCTTTGTGCGGAGGGCCTGTCCTTGCTTTTACAGGAAGCAGAGAGGAGTGGACGTATCCATGGAGTTCGAGTGGCCAGAGGAGCTCCTTCTATCTCCCATCTATTTTTTGCCGATGACAGTCTTCTATTTTTGAGGGCTACTTTGGAAGAGGCGGGGGAAGTTAAACGTTGCCTTGCTGAATACGAAAGAATTTCGGGTCAGTCCATCAATTTTAGTAAATCCAGTATCTGTTTTAGTCTTAACACTCGTTTGGAAATCAGGGAGATGCTCTCTTCTTTTTTTGGGGTTTCGGAGATGGATAATTTTGGTAACTACTTGGGTCTTCCGTCGTTTTTGGGTAAAGATAAGAATACTGTTTTTGCTTATGTGGTGGATAAAATTCGGGATCGATTTTCAGGTTGGGGAAAGAAATTACTTTCCAGGGCAGGCAAAGAGATCTTGCTAAAGACGGTGGCACAGGCTATGCCTCAATATGCCATGAGCGTCTTTTTGTTACCATAGGGGCTTTGTGAGAAGATTGAACGTCTGATGAATTCCTTTTGGTGGACAATCAAGGCTTCCAATTGACACATAAAATTCATAATGAGCACTTTATTTGCAATATCTTAGTACAATCTTCTTTCTTGAACTTCAGGTTCACATCTTCTTTAATTGAAGAATATATGTAATCTCGCATATGTCATGAAATTTATCTTCCATTCAACTCCTTCAAAAACCTTCCCTCAGTGTCTACCTACCATTGTGGTATCTTGATAATTTATCTTAATTTAAGCCCATTAAGCATCCGCTCCAAATGATTACCACATAAATGAAGATTCAAAATCTAGTATAAAATGATTTGTTCTCATAATCAAAGTATAGCCACTAATTCGATGCACTTTGCATATTAACTAGAACTGCAGGCTCTTTTGTGACTAATGATGTTCAACATAACCTATAAAATGTGTCCATAATATAATATATGGACAAATATCATAAACTCCGGATTACGAGTTAATTGTCAACAAATATGACAAATATAACGATGCATTATAGAAAACATATATTGAACAATTTCTAAATATATGTATGAAATGAATCTAAAGTTTCATTAGTAATAATCTCATAATAATCTTCTAATGAGGACAAGACTCTAGGATCTTCTGGTCCTAATAATAACAGAAACTTCTAGTCCTTCAGATAGTACTCACATGAGTTTTAATGATTTTTTTCTTCACATCACAAACTAAATTGTGATAATTTAATTGGTTATGTTTAAAATAAAAATTGGTTCTATAAACTTCTGGTTTACGTGAAAACAAATCTCAATCAAATGTCATGTAATATTCATTTCCACTGGTATCTTAAACATTAACATAGACACCTTAAACAATAAGGATTTGTCTATACCCAATAGAATATTCGTCAATGCAGGATAATAACTATCATCTCAAAATATTCAATATTTATGAGACTTTTATTACTTCTATTATGCAGCTCTTATTATGCAATGCTCTTCTGGAGCTATCTATAAGTTTTGTATAACAAGAAAATTATATTTACACTAACTTCTATAATTACAAGAGAAAAGAATATCTTTCATCTAAAAAAAAATATAATATGTATAATCACTCCTTTGATTATAAACATCATTCTTCAGGAATATTGATGAGGAATCATATATAGATTACAACAAAGGTCTTGAAATATCAAAACGTGCCTTTACAATGAGATTTTATTTTTTACTAAAAATAAGTCACTTCAGGTGATAATTAAATATTATAAGACCTTAAGTATCTCATATACCCATATATTGTGTTTGATGAACATGATGACTCTTATTTAATTTAGGAGATTATACATCTTAATGATTTCTTTTCAGAACTCAATATTCTTCAGGAATATTTAGATTCAAATAATCAATGTTTTTTTTAAAAAAACGTAATTCTGTGTGACCATAATAGTGACTTGATGTGTCCATATGTATAACCACAATAGTTGTGATAGCCTATTATATTCATGCAAGTCAATCAATTTTTCACTCACATCAGGAAATGAATATGTAACATGATTTTTTTTCCAAAAAATCTTTCCTAACAATGGGAAAAAAAAATGTAACCAAATATGGAGTATATGAATTTTTTTTACACTACCACTTTAGAGGAAATTAGATTCTCAAATACTATTTTGTAATCTCAAATCACATATAACATGCAATTACATATATTGGTCACACAAGTTTTATTGCAACTTAGTATATCACAGTAAAATATAATGTCATTGCATAAGGAGAAAATGCTTTGAAAAAAAAAATCTTTAGGCCATTTTACTTCTGGAAAATGGTAAATGCATGTTTAAAAGAAATCTATTTTGTTATTCTCTTTGAGAGATTATGAACTTTAGAATAAATATCAAATTTGATTTACTTTGAAGACAAAATTTGACACTTGGATTGAAGTTCTCTTTTATATGTCACATACTCCGTACTCTGTATTTCTTATATGCGAACCAACAAAAACATTTATCACATTTAGGATCAAGTAATAAAATATGCATTTTTTTCATAAATCTTTCATACCAAAGTAGTACAAGAATATAATCAAATATGGAGTGTATAGAATCTTTAACTTTCTATACTACCACGTCAAAAAAGAAATTAAAAACCCAAACATTTTTTAATTTTTTTTTAAAATCCCAAACTAAATATAATATGCAATTAGATATTGGTCACATAAACTTATAGCAATATATTACCCGGGAGTATATCAAAGTGGAATATGATGACGTCTCAAAAAAATTAAGTAAAACAAATTAATTTAAATATGAATCATTAGACCAATATACTTCTGGAAATTGGTGAATTACATGTTCAATTTCTTCAATTTACTTTGGGGAAAATCAAATTTGAGATCAAATAATAAAATATACATTTACATATAGTGTCAAATTCACCTTTATCATCATTGAAATAGGCAAATATTAAAATGCACAATTTCATGTCCCTAGCATCAACTAAGAAAATAATCCATAATTGCATATTTGAAAGCATTTTTTTTTGTTCAACACAAAATATGAATGAAGCAACCATTTTAACATTGATTTCCATAATATTCATTAGATTTATTCACACAATATATCAAATAAAACCCAAGCTATGTGAATATAGTTTATACACCAGACCTCAAATTGAACTATTTTTTTTTCACACAAACAAGGTCGAATAAACTATCATAATAATCTGTTTGCACTTATTATTCGAATTTCATGATAATCACGTGTATAGCATGCACTGGAAACATAATAGAGCATATTCATCACTTTCAATATTCAATCTTCAAATTTTAATATGTAATTTTCATAAAATTATTACGAGTAATTTTAAAGTACTACGAGTAACCGATTTGCATATCAGTGAACACCTTACATATCATTTCGTTACACCAATTTACTTCTGGAACTTGGTAAAATAACAAATAAAATCTATTTCCTCATTTTTACTTTGGAGAGATATTATGAAACAAAGATTAAATTTCGTCCATTATAAGCTAATAATCCAAATTTGACATTTTGTCACTCATGATAATAAATACTCCATCCGTCCCAAAAAGATTTACACGTTTCAAAAAAATTGCGTCCCACAAACCTTTACCCATTTCTATTAAAAAACCACTTTTACCCCTTACTTTTTCAAACCCTACATATCATATCATACCTTTTTTCTAATAATCTACACATCACATCCTACTTTTACTCATCACATCAAGGGTATTTTTGGAAAGTCAACACAAAATTATCCCTCCCTTAATTTCAACTTTAGTCAAAATGGGTAACACTTTATGGGACGGAGGGAGTATATCAACGCCATGCTAAGTGAAAATATACGAAATGCCAATCACTATGATTCATCCATACGCCTAATAATCATAATCAAAGGCATTACAAATCCACTTTTTTTTAACTCTCCTAAAAATAAATCATTATTTGATTTTGTTTAATACCAGGAATAACTTTTTATTCAACAAGTTGAGAGCTATGGTTCATGTGATTACTATTTCTTTGTTTTTAGCTATATGTGATAATCGATTAATCAAATCAAGTAACATATCACACAAAATAAGGAGAATTAAGAAATCTTAGCTTATGACGGTGTCGGTGCGAGTCTGAATGATGGTGGTGATGTTCTGAATAATCACGACCTTTCAACCCTCCATTGCAAACATAAATCCTACTACTCTGAGTTACGTCGAAGTCGGTTCTGTGCTTCTCAGAACGGTGCACAAGCCGTCATCAACGAGAACGTACCCTCCTTGACGGAATGACGGTGAAAATAGTAGCCTCCGTGTTCGGCCAAAATACGTGGTCCAGCCGTCAGAGGTCTAGAGTCGATTTGGAGTCGTTAGCCATGGCCGTCGTCGTCTCGTAGCTCCGATCCCCTTTTTTTTTTAAAAAAAACCCTTGAGATTAGATCTATTGAGAAAGAGAGATTGCGCCGCCTTAAGTCTTCCGTCTCAGAGTTGATCGTGATCAACTGTGGAGCCGATCGGAAGTTTTTCTTCTCATTCGGCGCATGCAATTTTTTTTAGGGTTTCCAAAGCTTTCGTGCTGATAACGTGTTGTGAACTCAGTAATTCATTCATCATATACGGGGGTATTTATACATACACGGGAGGAGGTATAGTCTAGGTCAATAAGGAAACAAGATATTCTAAATAGAACAAGAAATATATCTGACATATTTAACATTATCTATTAAAATCACTATGTTATTCTACATAACAAAATGATTAGCAAAAATAAGTAAAAGAAGAGAAGGTTTGACTCATAAATAGTGAACTAAGACGATCAATCTTTCTATATACAAAAGCAAAAGAAATCATCCAAATTTTGGTCTGATTATCATCTGTCGATGGCCTCAGCCAATAAATCGCGGTCGTTCATTGGCTCTCAAACTCTTCGGGGGGGTTTTGAAAAATCCTTAGTTGTTAATTTGGGGCTGACTGACTCTTCCCCTTCCTTCCATTGTTTATAGCAAGAACGGCGGCCAACGCTCCATCATCTCCGGCCGCCATATTAACTTTCGCCCAACAGCTAGCCGGCCGCCTACATTTATTAAAGTAGATGATAATACCGAGTATTTTAATTGCTCGCCCAACGCATAGCTCTTCTCTGGCCGAAAAAGGTTTAGGCTTCCAAGGCCGGCCGCCTTTAATTTGCTCGCAGGAACAGTACTGCCGCAGTAGCACTTCTCTCCTCCATCCATCCATGTATAGGTTTCAAATTTAGTCCCAAATAAACCATGTTTGTGAAGCACCATTCTTAATTATCAGGGTCGTATATAGCTGGTCCAGATTGATGGATAATAATTAATAATTAAATAGGTAAATTTATGGGGACTACGTACCGGATATGTACGTACTGTTGATCTATTTGGTTTGGACGTTCTTATTATCATTGAAATTTTTTGGACAAGGGTGTTGATGGAGACATATATTTTCACCATGTATATATTTCAGATTTTGCATCTTCCATCCTCAATAATACATCATTTACACAATCTTTCATTGCAAATTGAAGGTGCATTATATTATATATATATAAGGAGCATATACTTGTATTCTATAAAATTAATTTACTCCACGTAACATTTTATTTTTGTCCAAAATTCATTCAATATAATTTATTCTTACACACACTATTCCCCCTTTTTACCTAAGAGTAAGAGTTGAAGTTATGTTTGCTCTATCATTTCTTTCTTCCTTGCTCTAGCTAGAAGAACAGGATCCCCATTGGTTTTTAAAGATATGCTTGCTTTTTTTTTTAAGATATGGCTTGAGATGATTTTGGCTCCAATTCTAATTGTTGTTTTTTTTCATGTTTGAAGATACTGTTTTCATTTGCACAATTTGAACGTATTGGTGTGCTTTGTGGGATATGTTTTTGCTGATTTTTTCTAAGAATATCTTCAATTTTGGCAAAAGAAATTACTGAATGAGTTATTACATCTAGGATAGTGTAACCGTAATAAAGAAGCAGAACAGAAGAGTTAAATAATCCATATACTTGACCATATGCTACAGTAGTCCACATAAAAATCGAAGCATGATGACGAAGTTCATTGAATGTATGTGTACTTCGCAATGCTCTTTTACATTTCCAAACATGCATTAAAATAGTCTTTTTTCTCAAATTTATTTGGTTATCATTGAGTATTTGTTGTGCTGTAGTAGGGATTGTTAGAGATTTTGTTTTGGAGTTAGAACTTTGTTTAACTTTTTATTTTGTCTAGGGGTGTAGTAGTCTTTGTTAGCTTTTTGGTTGTAGAATTTTTAAGCTTTCTGGGCTATTATCTTTAATTTAGTAATTTAGACCATTATAAATATTTTTACAAATGGTTCTGATAAGAAAGATTTCTTTAATTTAGTACGGAGTAATTTAGACAATCATAAATGTTTTAAAACAATTATAAACTTTCAAGATCGATCACTTGGAATATAATTGAGAACGAGTTCTTCAATATATTGATTTGGACAATTATAAATATTTGAGATCAATTACATTTGGGACTATTGCTAAAAAAGACTAGGGTTTGCTAGGAGTACCTAAGTTGATGTACCACACGTGCATACCAGCTTCTCACAAACACACAGAGTAATGCACTGTGCATTTCTCTATGTATTTCTAAAAAGCTGGTGTACACATGGCACTTTTAGAATTTTCCAAAGACTATATCCGGTAACAACCAACTCTACGTTAAAACTTCAAAAATTATGAGTAATAGTAGATTAAATATTCATTTTGCATTGAAGGCAATGTGTGTGTGCAATGTAATATTGATATTTTTTAATTAAATGTACTACTAAATATTGTTTATAAAGAAGTGTTTCTCAATTTATAGTGATACTATTATATTTTTAATATCATTCTGTAATGAAATACTTGCCGTGCAACGCACGGGTAAGATTCTAGTTGTTTTGAGATGGAATAAGTATATATATTCACCTCGAAAGAGAAGAAGATGATATTCATTACCTGGCAAATAAACTTCAATGACTGTAGGGGCAGTAGCATCTCTCTCCTATAATCTCACTTGGAGGTGTAAATTCCAAATTCTCATACTTTTCTTGTGCCATTCCAAAACTCTTTTCATTTCTTCTTCCATATGATATGATGTTCTTCTGGATGTGGGTATTATTCGATGAGAGCTCTCTTGGTTGGGTTTATATATATACACACAACAAGAAATGGTACAAAGAAAGCACACATATATAGAGAATCTCCAATCTAGAAATGTACTCTTGGGATTTCTTGGAAAATAAGATATACTTTATGAATGGAGGGAGTATTTAATTTAGTTTCTTTCGGCTCTTTTTAGTTTTTCCAACTCCTTCCAGTTTTATATTAGAGTCTGTTCCTTAGGGCTCAAACTTTTAACTTCCCGTTTCTTCTAGTTCCTTCTAATTTCTTCTAGTTCTTTCCAATTTTTTCCAATCATTCCCATTTTCTACAAACTCTTTCTACTCCCCAACTAATTACCCTAAAAATAATATATTTTTAATGTGATTATTATTATTATTATTATTATTATTATTATTATTATTATTATTATTATTATTATTATTATTATTATTATTATTATTATTATTATTATTATAAATTTTATGTTCATAACTATAGTTTATAAATTATTTTTTTTTCATCTCGCTATTTTTACGATTCATACTCATTATTATTTTCTTCAACTTTTTAATATAAATAAGACAATTTTTTTGTATATTAATCTACAAGATAAAATAGGAAAACATCAATATTTTAAACTATATTAAAAAATTATGAATAAGTAATTACATAGAATGTTTTATTAATATAACTTTATATAAGACTCATCACCTCTCCTTTTATTACTCAATTTTTTTCTTATTTTTATTTAGTTAAAAATTTAATGTTTTTTATTTTTCTAATTTTTTTAAAAAATTTAAATGCAAATAGTTAAGAGAAAAAGACTAAAATAGAAATAAAATATAAAAAATGCATGAAAATAAAAGTTCTATGTCTTTATTCCAAAAATAGGAGTTACAATGAAAATAAAATATCAATCATGAAAGAAAAATAGGTTTGATTACATTATGTGATATGTCTGATATTTAAAGCAAAATCATGTAGTATATACATTATAATTACAAATATATTATTTTATAATAAATAATCATAAATAAATTGAGGTGCAACGTAACCACAATAACTCTTTATAATTTAACATTTTGAAATTTATGCTAACTTTATATTATAAATTTTTTTGCAAAAGTATTTATTTTGTGTATGAAAAATTACAATATTGTTTATCTTAAAGACATTCATCAAGATAACGTGGTAATAATAATAATAATAATAATAGTAATAATAATAATAATAATTTATGACAACAAGAATTAGAATGAAAATAATATAAAACTACACTAAAATAAATGTTTTTAATTTTTTTTAGGTTTTCCAATTTTTTGAAGTTTGTCCTGTTTTTCCAATTTGTTCTAGTTTCTTCCATTTTCTTCCAGTTTCTCCCAGTTTATTCCAATATGCAGTTTTTTTCTAGCCTTAAAGAACATGCTCTAATCTCTTCGAGACTGAAGAGGTTAATAAAATATTGGAAGGAAGTTCCGCTTTCATTTAACTTCTTCAAGTTTATTGCAACAATTGCTTTAGAAAAATATTGTGGAGTGTTTTTTAATGTTATTTTATTAAAACTAAAATTAAAATTATTATTATTATTATTATTATTATCAAGGTCAATAATACCACAAAACGTTTGAAGTTGTGTCATAATTCATGCAGTAAAATATACGGAGTATTTTTTCCCAATTTTTTTACTTACAATTATAGAGTCAACATAAAATATTGAATTGTTAAATAATTAATTTTATCATATGTTTTTATTTTTAATTTCGCAATGGTAACACGAGCTCAGCTTGGATTTGATACCATGCGCCTTTCCCTAGGTTCTCTTTTAAGTTTCTCATCTATAATGACAATCATTTTTCATTTGTTGAGAAATAAATGCCTTAAGTGCTTCCATCCATGCAATTACCTTATGTATGTTTGTGAACATGGATTTGGATTTCAAATCCGGATTTGGCTCAAATTCCATGTTTGAGAAATTTACAAATTTTGAATATAGATTTGAATCTCATTCAAAACAAAGCTTAATTTTAAATTCATGCCCCTCCCTTTGTCATTTGAAATTCAAGATTTCAAATTTTAGAATTGAAATGCATGAATTGAAATGAAATTCTAATTGCCAAACACTATCTAAATGTTATTTTATTCAAATGCATGTTATTACACTACATTCAATAAATATAAAATCAATCGCATGCATGTTGTGTGATTCACAATTCTAGTTGTGCAAAATATGTTAGTCGATTTGTCCACGCCTTAGATTCAGCAAACCAAGGCTAACAGGATACTCACTCTTCAGCCTCCCTGCCGTAGGATCTAACATGTTCTTAACATACAGTCCAATGCCAATGGCATCCAAAACCACCAGAGACAAATTCAACATTTTCACGCGCTTCGTTTCAGCGAAGGACCTGAGACCTCCACATTAAATGTGTCCAAAATCGACCAAATCACCCACAACAATTCCAAATACGTCTAATTCAAAATTTTAAGAACTAAAGTTGACACTGAATAGAATACACCACGCATGTGATAAAAGAACAAATCAAATGTAGAATAAAATCAAGTATGTACATACTGTCTTTGACCCACCTTTTATTTTTTTGAAAATATAGACATCACTTTTCAACACTTTTATTGTTTTAAACAGAAACAATTAAAAACAAATACAAACTTTTCTTGGTTAATCCAAAATTAGAATAACACATCAAATATGGCTTAAATAAGTACATACAAAGTACACTTATCAAATTCCACATACTAATGACTTGTTGTTTTAGGTTGGAAAAATTAACTTTCAACTTTTTCAAACTTCTTTCTATTCTTTCCAACTCTCCCAGTTCTTTCCAATTCCCCCAGTTCCTTCCAACGACTTAAAAAACTATTTATATATGATGAATATAAAATAACATAGTGTATCCAAATTTATAACATATCACCTCAACCACAGACAAGAATGAAATATATTTTAGCCAAAATTAGAATTTTTTTATAAGAAATCTATTTTAGCCAAAATCAGCATTTTCAAACTTCTTCCAATTTTTTCCAACTCCTTTTTTTTCAACTTTCAATTTCTTTCAACAATCAAATCTGAAATTTCAATCCAAAAGAATATGGCCTAAGAGCTTGTTATTAGAATTTGATCTCTTAACTTTCAGTTTTTTCCAGTGCCTTCATGTTTTTTAGTTTCTTCAAGTTCCTTTCCATTTTTTCCAAAATTTTCTAGTTTCTTTCAGTTTCCTTTAATTTTTTTTCAGTTTCTTCCCATTTTTCCAACTATTCTCAATTTCGTCAATTTTTTTACTCCCAAATAGTGACTTTAAATATAATCTGTTTTTCATGTATTATTATTATTATAACTCTAGTTTATAAATTATTTTAATTATTTTATTTTTTCTCATTACACTATTTTGTGATTCACACTCATTATTATTTTCTCTTCTATTTTTAATATAAATAATACGTAATACAATTTCATTAGGAAAATTGTTCTTTTTTAATTAAATGACACTAAACTATGTTCTAAAAATTATGGATGTTTTATTAACCTAAACTGACCTAGAAAATTATCAATATTTTAAATTAAAAAATAATAGTTACACTATTCTATCTATCTCTAATTAAATGACATTTATATTATGAACGTGATCAAATTTTATTCACTTTTTACCTATTATTATTTCTAAGAATTATTATTATTATTATTATAACAATAACAACTATACCAATTATAATAAGAATACTATGTAAAATATAAATAAATATTTGAATCTCTCGTGAGGATTCAAATATTTTGTTTTATCCTTTAAAACAAAAGGATATCTGACGTGAGACTTCAAAGGATTTTTCAGTGAAAAATATTCTTAGTAAACGTACCAGAACAAAAATATGTATAGTTGTTCAATGAAATAATATATTATTCACATGGTCAAATTTTTTTTTGACCCCAAAATAGGTCCCCATCCAATTACTTAACAAATACTTCCACATAAAATAGTTATGTCACCACTAAATTTGAAGATCTTTTTGATATAATGTTGTAATATAAAACTTTTATTTTTTAAATCAACACCATTTTCATATAAAATGATTTGAGAATAATTTCAATCAAACATCGTAACCGAAACAAGTAATATAAATTGGAGCGAACGGAGTATTAATTAGTTCAAGTTTATTAGTTAAGAAATTTTAAAACACCCTTATAATGGTTTGTAGATTTAAACTACTCCCTCCGTCCCAAATTATAATGCCTGTTTACTATTCACATGGTCAAACTTTATTCACTTTCTTTCTCTATTTTCGTTAGCAATTTGATAAAATAAAATATTATTGTCACTACTAATTTTGTAGATCTTTTGATGTAGTTTTTAATATATAATTTTTATTTTTTAATTCTATACCATTTGTCATATAAAATGGTTTGAAAATAATTTCAGTCAAGCATCGTAAACCGAAACAGGCATTATAAAATGGGACAGAGGTAGTATATACTTAAAATTAATTTTCACAACACAATGTTATTTAAATGCAGAGTATTTACACTTTGTATTTTCTTAAAATTAATTATTAAGAAAATGAAATATTTTCAATAATTTTAAGAATTATTTTATAATATGAGTTTAAATTATTCATTTAAAAATGATTGTACTTCGTTGGTAAATCAGTGTATACTATATACGCTGTCATTTATTTTGTAATAAGAAAAATATGAAATAAATCGAATCTGATATGTCACTAATGTGTAAAAAAAACTCGCCAAAAAAGTGTGTGTGTGCGCGTGTGTGTGTGTGTATAGACACGCACACCCTCTACTCTTATTGGGACATTTTCACATTTGATAACACACCCGATATGTGCTAATTCACATCAAGTTTTTTACATTGAAGTGTAGAAAGAAAAGCATGGCAATGAGAATATTAAAAGTTCCAAAAATTTTAGAGTATTAGGGAAAGAGAAAAAATTTGATAAATAAAGAGATAAAAGAATACACAGAATCCTTCAAAAAAAGAAATAAAGAATATTAATTTCATTCACGCACCCCGTACTTGATAAATGTCAATAGTGCACAAAGCTCCAAACTGTAAAGGACCAGTCCTGATCAAAGGACGGGTCGGTGTACAGAGCGTCCTCTCATAGAAAGGGCTCGGGGGGGGGGGGGGGGGGGGNGGGGGGGGGTTGCAGTGCAGCAGAAGTGCTGAATCAAACCATAGAAGTGGCCATGGAACAGTGAAGAAAACTATATCAGGGTGCATTATCATTGATTGATTGATTAATTGTAGCTTCATTTAGCCTTCAGTTTTCGGCTTCTTACTTGGAGGAGGAAGTACATCCTTAAAGAACCTACAAAAAAAGAATTATTATTAGAGAACGTAAAAACAGTATTTCTTGAGATTTATGCATCCTTTCTATATTCTGTGGTTGTTTTACTATTATGGTTCATTTTATCTTTTGAGTCACATTTCATTGTTCTAAAACCGTCTTATATTGTCTAGAGCCAAGGGTCTTTCAGAAACAGTATCTACTGTCCTCGGTTCATATGCATGGGCAAAGTGCCAAAGTTTGTCTAAACTTACCATACCATACCCCACTTGTGTGACGTTACTATAAAAACATGAACTACTATGTATATCCTACCCCCCCCGGACAGGCTAGAGGGTTACGGAGTGAATGAGAAGAGGTAAATTGAATTATAATGTCACGTGCAAGGACTCCATGCTATGCACGCCATTCATCACCCGTTTCCAAACTCAAACTAGAGCATCACCCTCTTTTGCACTACTTCTTTGTCATTTAAGCTATGCCGCAACCATAGTGGTAAGAACCAGACCGGACCGGCCGGTTCGTGAACTGGTTGATGGACCAGTCTGATTGGGAGAATTAGACCGTAACTATGGTTCAGTTTCGATCATTATGGCCCCAACAATGAGTAGCAATCACGCACGGTTGTATGACTTGCATGACGTCACTAGGTTGTAATTGTTGTGGTTTGTTGTTTGAGTTTTATTGGGTGGTTGGGGCCATAAAACAACACTTAATTTTGAGAGTCATATGTTTGGATGAACAAGGAAGTCATTAGAAGTTTGAAGATGATAGTTTTGCAGAAGAACAGTAAAACTTACGCGGACAGTGCTCGCTTATTCTTCTCACTGCAAATGTATGTGCTCAACTCCTCCATACTCAAGCTTTGAGATGTGTCGTCAAGATCAAACTTTAACAATTTACATCTATCCAAATGAAAGGAGGGGGATCCGGCGTAACCCGGCACACCTTCTAGTTGACCTTTGAGTTTGTTCATCAAAATAAAACCTGCACCCAAGATGGAAAATTTACAATGCATACAAGTAACACTCAAAATGAGGATTTTTTTATGTTAAAAAAATGACGGATGAAAGAAGACATGAAAAAAGATGGCATACTGAGAGCACGGAGAAACTTCAAGCCGAAGTTCTTGGCCATAGGTTTGGAGCCGATGCTCTTCGCACGTTGGAGAATCATCCCTTTCAAGCTCATTAAGAAATCCTGGTGATGGATTTCAATTCACGATATCATGGGAGCAGATCATGTATGAATGAATATTGAGGATTAAGATCAGTTATAGATGGTGAGAGACGACGCTATATGAAACCTTTTGTATCCTGACTATATTCAGAATCTGTTCCCTTCTCTAGAGATGGAGAACACAAGTATGAACAAGTACTTATAGGGATTAGTGAATCTTAGCCACACACTCATGTGCCTCTTGGTCCCCTAGCTCTAGGGCCTACCTTGCTAGCAACTCCAGTGGGGTGGACCTCACATTTAGGTCAAATTAGCCCGGCCATATCATGCGGGTCCCTCACCACGACTGGTCATACAAGCATTGGTGGTAATGTGCCTAAATAATAATAACAATCAAAGAATGAGCGGGATATTTTGGGCTTAGAGCTTGTTCTCTTCAGCTTATTCTTATTGGAATCAAATTAAATAAGAAACAACTTTAGATATAACTACATTTAATTCAGATCAGAACTTATTCCCGGTGAAGAGAACAAGCCCTAAATCGGTTTATTCATCTTAGTTGGTCCCGCTGCACGCAAATAAAAATGTACAGAATGCATCAGTCATTTTTTCCCATCAACAACAACCTCAACACACAAACTTAGCGTTCAAAAGAGACATTAGAGATTAGAAAGACTAACAAGTTCAGATTCATTCAATGAGCAAAGCCATCTGATATCATCAATATGATCATTGCTCCCTGAACTCAATTTTCCTTCATCCATTCCTCTCTGTTTGTTCTTGTGAAACCCTCTCTTTTTCTAGTCCCTTCAGAAGTTTCTGTTCATAATCACAACGCAATTCATATTTAAGAAGATGAACATCTCACGCATAGAAGAAGTCACTCTCCACCGCCAGCACTATGGAGTAGTAAAGTTCAAACTTTGTTGTGTAAAAAGAGAGAGTCATGTTTGATTGATTGAAGAAGGTAATTTTACTGAAGAAGAGTGAGAAAAAGATGCATTTCATAAATCTGAATCAAATTGTTATTCATATTTACCGGAACTTAAAAAGTAAAATCTGTGTAAATATGTTTTAAAAAAATGGTGCAGAATATTATTGACATTTGAATTGATTACAAACATACATTTATTTTTTCTCATCGGCAACTTCATCTCCTCCGCAAGCTTGACCCAAGAAATCCAAGAATTGGGGTTATAATGAGATAACTCATAAACTTTCCCTTTACTAAACTCTATCTATAAGTCTATTTGAAAAAAAATTAAGTTTAAGATAATAATTCATGAAGTTTTTTTTACTCATCTAGTGCCAATACTTCGAGGTCATGTATTGATCCATAAGCTTTAACGTGTTTTCCATCAGCTTTAACGTATTTTTCTAATTTGAACCAATACCTTGATACATTAATTAAATAATATAATAATAAAATCACATTGCAAGTTAATACAAAAATGATTTTATGAAGCTTATCTTCCAAAATCTTTCAAAAAATGTTTCGTTTTATCCTACCCAATACAACACATTGTATGGCAGCCCATCGCTAAAAAAACTGCGGTAGATGTTCTTTTTACTAGTATAATAAGCAATGTAATAATATGGCCTTCATATTTCATGCTTCAATATAGATTATAGACATTAACATAACTAAATGATTCGGAATTCGCACTTATCGAGTAATACTTGACAAAGAACTTTTAGTCAAAAATTTGAAATAAAAACATAAAATATACCTCCAAACAACGATCTACAATATGCCTGCTTTTGGAATAATTCCCGTCTCTGTAGTACCCCACAGCCAGAAGGTATAGATTTTCCCTTGCAGCGGAGTGCTACTTACACCCAAAGAAGCTGCAGGAGATGATACAAAATTACGTCTAAAAGGAGATATAAAAAAGAAACAACAATAGCTTGATCAACCCTTTGTAGAAAACAATTGAATAAAACAGTAATGGATATATAATTAACTGCTCATTTCATTGTGTTTTCCTTGATGCTTTTTTTTGGACAAGGAATGAAACGGAGGAATGAACTATGAGAGAAATTATAAGGAGAAGAGAACGGATAAATTTTTAGTGATTCTAGGTTGAGAACGGATAAATTTTTAGTGAGTCTAGGTTGAGAGAATTCTAGGTTGATTCTCTTTTGAGTTTTTTTTGCGGGATCCACATCAACTATATCTTTCCTCAATTCTCCTTCCATCCAAACAACACCAAAATTTGTTTTCTCACAAAATCCTTTCCACTAGATTTCTTTTTAAAGAAACACAACCAGTTCGGTGGAAGACCAACAACTACAATAGAATTGCTTGAGAAGGAGATTAGTAGTAGGACCTAGTAAAATGAAATCCAATCTGTGAACTAAATTAAATTGTCGACGAGGGAGAGCTACTCAATCTCCCCTCTGATGACTTACCTTCTAGCATTCCAATGCCACGCTGGCGATCTTCCTGGCGCTTTGAGTGACCAAGAGCCCAAGATAAGCGCACAATGCATTCATTTTTGATAGTTTCAGAAGCACCTTTTTCATCCTCTGCTACTTCGCGCTCACATCCCTGAAAATGCACTACAGTCTGTGTGGGGGAGAACTTGAAAATGGCTAACTAGAGGTTCTGTGGACAGGTCACAATCAAAACTGATATTGTAAAAGAGGACAATGCTGGAAAGAGTATTTTGGGACTGGAAAATAGTAGGATAATGCTGGAGAGAGTATAAAAATCAGAAGAAAAAAATAAAGTGCTATGAAGAGAAATTTGTAAACAGGCCAAATATGCTTCTTTTCTTTGTGTTTCTTTGTAATATGAGCATTTAAAAGTGAATTAAATGTACACCAATCATACTGAGTATCATGTTATGGTAAGTAGCAAAACATTTGAAATTTTGAAGAAAACAATCATCATTAAAAAATTGAACTAACACCCCAAGGTGGGAACCAACAAACAAGAATCAACCACTGGCAATTTTCAAAAACGGAAAAGGGTTCAAACTCCGGAATTGATTTTCAACCTGCAGGCAATATTAATGGGAAGTGGGAACTGTAGAACACATTATCCCAAGGTGGTATATGACACAAATCTGTCTACCAATGAAAGAAACTAAAACAATTCAGGTGCGCAAATTAAACCCTATTGCCAAGAAAGAAAACTATGTGGGATATTCAAAGCACAAAATTCATAGTAACACCTGAGTTTGATAGTTGAAAATTATTGTGTCGAATTTTGATTGAACTTAAATACGTGAATGCTAGAGTTACTGATCATGAAAACTTAGTAAAATGATGTGAACCTTCAGGTGTTACTGAACATGACGGATACATCGGTTATTCAGGTTAGATGTTGTATGCAAGACAAGCTGCCCAATTTCTAAAGCCCTAATCCTGCGAATCTCATTTCTAAGGACATCTAAACCCTAGACAGGACATACAACTCAACTTGCTCATACAAGCAACATAGACGGAGAGGATACTTACGGTGACTATATCGGAATCGCACAATGGAATCTGATTGCCGCCGGAGAAGATATTGCCGACCGAATCAAATAGGTTTCTGATCTTTGCTTCCTTATGGGGGAGTATCATATGGGTTTTGCTAGAAAAATAAAAGTAAAAGACTAAAACAAAATGACTTTCCTAATCTAGGACTTAAATTTTTTTATTTTCTAAATAGGATTTAATAATGTCTTTGTGGAAGAAATAATGCCCATCAATGATAGACATTACTTGAATAATGACTAAAAAATAATGACCAAAGGTCCTACATTCGGAAATAAAAACATAAGATCTTATTTTGGGAAAGTCATTATGTTTTAGTCCTTTTTAGGTAATTACTCAAAAAAAAATACTCCCTCGCTCCCTAAATAAAATTTATGTTTCTCTTTTTTTCTTTGTCCGAAAATAAAGTGTATATTTCTAATTTTAATCCACACTTTTCCAAAAATACCCTTCTCTACCATTTCAATCTTCTCTCTCCCTCTCCCCCCTTCCTCCTCTTCTTCCTTAATACCTCTTTTCTTATTTTTCTTTCTCCCATCCGCCAGATCTATACCTTTTCAATCCTCTCTCTCCCCTTCTTCTTCTTGCTTTTCTTTCTCCTGACCTTCCTCTGTTCTTTCTCCCCCCACCCCCAATTGAGGACGAGATGGTGCCAAGACGCCGCGGCTTCCATGGTGGACAATGATGGGCTGTTCCTGGTGCTCATATAGAGGAAGAGAGTCGTGGAGAGTCGGGTCAGGAGGGGCTGGACGGACGGGCTGGAATCTGGGGCGACTCAGGTTGAGCCGAAGTGGGCGGTGGTTTTGGGTGAGGAACGATCTGAGGAGGGAGAGGAAGCTTCCAGGGTAGGGAGGTTTAATTATGACATTCTCGACGGCGGTGCCGAAGATTCGTGGAGATTGGCTCTGGCTTTGGGCCCATCCGTGAAGGCCAGTGCCGAAGATCCGGTGGCGGAGGGGCGGGAGAAGTGCGGCGGCCTATGGGCTGTTTTCCCATTTTGAGCCGTCGGGTCAGGTGAAGACTGGAAAGGGGGTATTTTGGTCATTTCACAAGGTTAGTCAACCTCCCTTAAAAATGACCAAAAGTCAAAACGTAAACTTTAATACCAGATGGAGAGAGTAATAGAAATATTATGGCAAGATGAAGGATATACATTATTACAATTTAAATTACAATATCAAGTACGTAATAATCTAGTAAATAACTTTAGTATTTTTTTAAAACTGCACACAAATTGTTTTTATAAAATGGTAAATAACTTGATTAATTTACTTTGATAAATATTTAATGAAGATTTACAGGAAAAATAATATGATTTGATTTTGTGAATAGTTTTAGAAAGTAACTTAAAACGTCTATAAAAAAAAGTAAGAAAAAAATAAACATTACTATAAGAATATCAAAATCTTATTACTCTGTATAAGATTTCAAGAGTAATTTAGGGGGTGTATTCGATCAAAAGTTTGGAAGATTTTTTTAAATTTTAAAAGTTAGTGGGTATTCAATTAAGATTTTAAAAAATTATTTAAAATTTGAGGATATTCAATTTAGATTTTAAAAAGTAAATAGGACTAAAACATAATGGCTTTCCCAATATAGGACCATATGTTTTTATTTCCCAATGTAGAACCTTTGGTCATTATCATGAAGTCATTATTCAACTAAATGTGCATCATTGCTGGACATTATTCCTTCCACTAGGTCATTATTAAGTCCTATTTATGGAATAAAAAAGTTTAAGTCTTACATTAGGAAAGTCATTATGTTTTAGTCCTATTTAGTGCAAATTTCACATTTAAGATCTAAGGTATTGAATTTAAATTTTAACTTGTCTATTCAAATCTAATGGTATTAAATAATTTATAGATTTTGAAAGATTTTTATTATATGTGGATTTTGATGGATTTTGAAGTTATTTTTCTAAAGAAAAACAATTTCACACATCTTTGACAACATCCAAAGATTTTAATGGATTTGGCTACCTAAAGGGGATGGCATCACGACTGAAGCTGTTTGATTGATCAGCCTAAAAAAATGGAGCCCCCCAAATGACGACCAACGAAACAACAATCAGCCGTGAGGTAATTACACTGTGGCTCGGATGAGCTCAGGGCGAAGAAGAAGAAGCGGCGGGATGGAGACGGAGAAGAAGAAGCGGGTTAGAGAAAGAGGAAAAAGAAGAAAATTAAAGGGATAGGTCTGATAGGGAGAAAGGTGAAGAAGAAGAAGAAGAAGAATGGGAGGAAGAGGAGGAAGAAAAAGAGAGAAAAAGAAAGAAAGAAGAAAAATAGAAAAAGAACATCAATACCTGTGAGTATGTGACAAGGAGAAAGGTGGAGAAGAAGGAAGGAGGGGAGGAAGAAAAGAAGAAAGAAAAAAAGAAAGGAGAAATAAAGAGAAGAAAGAACTCAGGAGAGAGAACTAGAGGATGAAAAGAAGGAGAGCAAAAAAGGTAATCTATGGATAATAAGTAATGATACACAATCCTATAAAATTTTGCTAAAGAATACATTATAATCTATCTAACTCTACGTCGACTTAAAACAATACAGTACATTGATTTTACATAATTCATAGATTCTAAATAATCTATCAAAATCTTTTAAAATCTGAATTGAATACACCCCCTTTAGTCTATGACATTCGCTTAAAAATAAGAGAACTAGTAGGGGGAATAAGTTTTGTAAACATGAGAGGTAACTGATGGAGTAAATTACCACGCAAATGCTAAGTATAAGTAATCGGGAGGGTTGTAGGTGGAAACACCTGTAACCCGGCTTGTTATTAATGAAAGTAGGAACTTATTACAATCAGTACAGGCCGTGTGGATTAATTAAAGCATGCCTCACAAATGAGGCTTTTAGGGGTATTTATAATAATCCTAAGCACGTCAAGCACGTCTCTGATTATCCAGCCGGTCAGGAGGCCGACCGGTCAACCAGGTGTACTTCGGAAAATAGGTCTTCTGTTATTGGCGTCCGGCCTTCCCATCTACCCGGTGAAATAACCCGGGCCGAGAAGGGCGCGCGTTGTCACTTGCATCACCACCCCGTCGGGAGAACCAACCGGGTGGTATCCATGGGTTATTACCCATCAAGGAGTCCTCTGATTCCCGGTCCTGTGGGGACCATCAGGGGCGGGAAGCATATGCGACCATCTCTCAAAATTCGAACTGCCCAGTCGCTTTTTGGCGGGAAAATCGTCTCGGAAAACCAGCGCCAACCCAAAATATTTGAAGTTTGAAATTTGAATTTTGAAATTTCAAAAACCGGGTATCCGAGGCGGGAGAATCTTCTCGAAGTCGGGTACGGAGCCGCCGATTTATCGTGCCGTTTCATCTCCCCGAGAGGTTATGATGACAAATCACTTCATTCACCACGTGTCGCTTTGTCATTCGTCCGTCTGGGCGGCTTCTCTCCTATATAAAGCGAGGTTCTCCCTAGAATTTCCTCACTTGCAAATCTTCAATTCAAAAACTACCCGGCTGCTTCTACTATTTCCGAGTCCTCCGAGTCTTCTAATCGTCTCCAAGTAAGTCTCTTTCCTTCCTTTTCTGAGTCATGTCAGACCGTGAGGATAGCCAGAACTTTTCCGTTCATTCCTACGGTTCTGGCGGCCGGTCTCCAACCTTCGGTTCCTCTTCTTCTTCATCCTCTGACTCTGAGCACCCGGCTACTTCTCCACAGAAGAAGCTGGTTGATGCTTCCACTTGTGCCCCTTCTTCTTCCGTGGCGCAAGTGGTCTCGGTTGCCCAGCCCGGGGACGAGGGTTTCATTCAGCTGGACGACCGGTTGCTCCAAACGCAACCATCGGTCATGCAGAAAGCCCAAGTCCACGAGGTGCGCAACCTGATGCCGGATGGGTACCAATTGACCTACCGGGCAGCGTGGAAGAGCATTATTCCTCTCCACGTCGGTACGTCGATTGGTATCCATTACCATTCGATCAAGGACTTGGGTGAATTCTCTATTCATCCATTCAAAGTCCTTTTCCTTGAAACATACGGTATCATGCCCGGGCAGCTGGCCCCTAATGGTCACCATTTGTTGGGCAGTTTTATTAATGTCTGCCGGTTTCTTCGTATCCCTCTTTCCCTTTGTCTCTTCGATCACATGTTCGATGTCCGGCCCGGGTCCAAGGAAACCCTTGGATTCGTGGTGGTGTCTTCCCATCAAGGTCGGGCATTCCTCTGTGGCCTTCCTCCTTCCAACAAGAAGTGGAAGGACAAATACGTCTGTATCCAATTCCCCCCGGCCGCTTTTCCTTTTGCCCAGAATGTCTGGGGGAAGAGAATGAAGCGCCAGGTCAAACCAGCAGAGGCGGATGACCTGGCTGCTTGGGAAGCCACTCTCCAGGCCGGGGATGCCTCCACCCGCAGCCTGTACCATGTAGGGAAGTGGAGCGTTTACCCTGGTCGGGAGACTGACCCTGAGCCGGAGATTATCCTGCCCGGGGCGATCCCCGAAGCCATCCCCATCCGCCAGGCGAGGGGACCCAAAGCCTTGGCCACTGCCACTGCCGGTCCTTCACGCCCGGCGAGGTAGAAGAAAGAGAAAGGTCAATTAACTACCCTTGTTTTCCTTCCATTTTTTTATACCATCGCTGTTCTTCTAACCGGTGACCTTTCTTGCCTTGCAGTGGTGAAGTTTCAGTCAAAGTTTGTCGTTCCTCAGATAGTGGTTGAGGAGCCCTCCTCCGCTCAGCCACTCACTCCTCCATCCAGCCAGCCGTTCCTGCTGGACGAGCAGCCGGCTCGATCTCACCAAGGGACCAGCCAGCCGATCCACTCGGGGGAGATCTACATCAATGTAGACACCTTCGAGTTTGATAACATGCTGGGAGAGACCCGCTACCTGGGCTGCTCAAGCGCCTGATGAGTTCGCCGCTAAGGCGTTACCTGACCGGGAGACAGCCATCCGCTTCTTCCAAGGGCTGTACAAGCATCCAGTATCGGCTGGCATCGTGGACGAGATTGGGACCTACGGGTTTGAAAGCGGCCAGTATTCTGAACGGAAGGCCCTCTATGGCATCCTTGAGCAGAGGATCCAAGGCTTCCGGCCCAAGGCCCTTTCACTGCCCGAGCTGCATGACGAGGCGCCCGTACCTCCATTCCTAGGCATCTGATCCGTCCGGCCTTCTTTTCTCTTCTGATTCTCTCTTTTTTTTATGATGTAATATCCTGCCTCCGGGCGCTTTTTGTACACCGTTGAAATATTAATGAAAATATTTTCTATATTATGTGCTGAGTGCTTTTTTCCATATCTCATTAATTCTTTTCAACTTAGATTCTTTAACCGTTTAGATTAGTAAATAACAGCCCGGCTGTATTTACCCAGCTTAGAATACAATTTTACCCAAGTCTTTTCGAAAGACTGGATAGTCAGCCGGGAAGACTTTTTGCTTTATAAATTTCCTCCCGGTTTGGTATAACCCTCGGTGGCGTATTGACTTGTCCTTTTCGAAAGGTTAAGCATTTGCCCCGGCTCTTGTAAGGCCGACCTGTTTACACAATGGCTTAACGCCCTTGTGGAAAGGTAAACCTTGAGTTTCTCTTCAGAACGATCTGGCTTAAACTGGCCGGGATGCTCTCCCTTTAGTTAAGCCAAATCGTTTTTTAACTCCCGTGTCAGTACGGATGAGTTGTTGGATCGGTCAGACCGGTTTCTTTTTTTTTTGAGATGTCCAATTCGATTGGACATCTAACCGGGTAGATTGGTACGTGACGAATTACCGGTTAATGTATGAGAACAATATTTCGGAAAAGAACAAGTCTTATTACTGGCCGGGAACTCATTACACTTTATCTATAAAATTTACGTAAGTGGTGAGAGTTCCAATGTCGGTCGACCCGGCCACCTTCCATAGTCTCCAGTTGATAAGTGCCCGGCCTAACGATAGCCTTTACGCGATAGGGTCCCTCCCAGTTTTGTACTAGCTTGCCTCTTTACCTCTTTACCGATAGCCTTTACGCGATAAGTGCCCGGCCCACCCGGTTGTCATGATACCTCTTTACCGACTGCTGGTAACCGGCCATCTTGACAGCTGCTATGGTCCTTCGTTCTTCCACCAGATTCAATTCAGCTAGGTGGTCGGCCTCATTCTGACCGGGCTGGTACACGGTTTCTCTAAATGTTGGAATTTCTGCCTCTACTGGTAGCTGGGCTTCACATCTGTATGTGAGCACGAAAGGAGTCTCTCCAGTTGCCCTTCTTGAAGTCACTCGATGTGCCCAGACCGTATGAGGTAGGGCTTCCAACCACTTGTGTCCTTCCTCACCCAATCTCTTTTTCAGCCCGTCCACTATTGTCCAGTTAGCATTTTCGACTTGGCCATTTCCTTGTGGATATGCTACCGATGCCTTGCTATGCTTGATCCCGAAGCTAGCAAGGTATGCAGTGAACCGGGGGTTGCGAAACTGTGGACCGTTGTCGGTGACAATGATTTTTGGGGCACCAAACCGGGTGATAATGTTTTTCCAAACAAATTTATCACATTGCCGTACGGTTATGGTGGCCATCGCCTCAGCCTCGATCCATTTAGTGAAGTAATCTATAGCCACCATCACAAACTTCTTTTCACCTTGGGCAACTGGGAAGGCTCCAATAATATCAATCCCAAACCGGACAAATGGTATAACATTAGAGGTCGGTTGGTAATATGTAGCCGGTCTGCCGGGATGTTTGTAGAAAACCTGGCACGTTCTACACCTCTGGACATACCGTTCACAATCTCCAACAATGGTCGGCCAGTAGTAGCCTAGCAATATTATCCTTTGAGCCAAAGTGCGGGACATTTGATGGGCTGCACAAACTCCCTCATGTACCTCAGCTATTACCCGTTCAGCTTCAGGGTTTGTAAGGCAACGCAAGAGTGGTCCGCCAATGGCACGTTTGTATAGGTGACCGTCGATTACCTGGAAACGTGGAGCCCGTAGGACCACTTTCCTGGCTCGTTCCTCGTCATCTGGCTTCTGGCCGGTTTCCAGATACTCCATGAGTTCGTACCTCCAGTCATCATCTGCTCCGATTATCCCGGTCGCTGAAGTCTGGCCCGGTTGGATGGCCGTGACTTCAAACCGGTCTGTACTTGGCACGTCCAGTATCTCAATTTTCGCCAAATTTGACACATGCTCCGGGAAAGCTTACGTCAATTTGGAAAGCATATCTGCATCAGCGTTTTCTGACCGGGGTATCCTGGTCAGACGAAACTCTTCTAACTCCCTTAGGAGTGCTCGGACCAGGTCACTATACCGGGCCAGCCGATCTTCCTTTACTTCCATCCCACCATTGACCTGTCCGACAACCAGACTTGAATCGGAACGGATCTTCATCCTTTTTATCCCGAAAGCCCGGGCTAGTCTGAGACCACCGGCCAACGCCTCATACTCCGCCTCATTATTGGTGAGCTTGAAATTAAAAACTAAGGCATGGTAGATCTTAAATCCTTCCGGGGTAGTGAAGACTACGCCGGCCCCGCATCCCTTCGGTCTAGAGGCCCCATCAACGGCCATATCCCACCACGGTTCGACCGTATGGGAAGGTCTGGCTTCGGGCTCTAGACCGGTCAGTTCGACGAGGAAGTCTGCCAAAGCTTGACCCTTGATTGCAGTCCTTGGTTTATATTCTATTTTGAACTGAGTGAGCATCATTGCCCATTTGATCAATCTTCCCGAGGAGGTTGAATTTCAAAGGACCGGTCCAAGTGGCTGATCGGTTAGTACTTCCACAGTGTGAGCTTGGAAGTACGCGGTCAGTTTCTTGGCTGTTATGAAAAGTGCGTATGCCGTTTTCTCAATGGCGGTGTACCGGCTTTCCGCCCCATTTAGTACTTTGCTCACATAGTAAATAGGCCTCTGGCCGTCTTCATTTCTTATCAAAACAGAGCTTACAGCGTTTTGGGAAATGCCCAGATACAAATACAAAGTCTCACCCGGTTTGGGTTTAGACAAAACAATATCAGAGACTAAGTACTCCTTCAGCTGATGGAAAGCTTCCTCGCACTCCTGGTCCCATTCGAATGTGTTGGCCTTCTTTAAAACCTTGAAGAAAGGCAGAGCTCTCTCTGCAGACCGGGAGAGAAAACGACTCAAGACTGCCAACCGCCCGGTAAGTCGTTGTACGTCCTTCAGCGAACTAGGCGACCTCATTTCAGTTATGGCCTTAATCTTCTCCGAATTAGGCTCAATGCCACGCTTGGTTACCATGAACCCAAGGAACTTACCGGTCTTTACAGCAAAGACGCATTTCTTGGGGTTGAGACGCAAGTTGTACTTGGCCATAATCTCGAAGCAAAGCCTCATGTCGGCCGGGTGGTTTATGGCGCTCGGGCTTTTGATCAGCATATCGTCCACACAGGCTTCCATGGACTTACCGAGGAGTGGCTTAAAAAGCCGGTTTACCATCCTCTGATAGGTGGCGCCCGAGTTTTTTAGCCCAAAGGCCATCACTCGGTAACAATAAGTACCTTCTGGTGTTAAGAAAGAAGTGTTCTCCTCGTCCTCCTCGACCATGAAGATTTGATGATAGCCTTTGAAGGCATCCATGAAGCTCAGCAACTCACAACCGGCCGTCTCATCGACCATCTGATCGGGACTGGGCAGCGAGTATGAATCCATTGGGCACGCTTGTTCAGATCTGTATAGTCCACACACATGCGCCAGGTGTCGCCTTTCGGAGCCAAGACGACGTTTGCTAACCAGGCTGGGTATTGTACTTCCCGTATGTGCCCGACCGCCAACAAATCCTTCACCTCTTTTTTCACAAAGTCCCTCCGGACATTCGCCAAGTTCCTCTTCTTCTGTTTCACAGGCCGGTACCCTTCCATCACAGCCAAACGATGGCATATGACAGAACGGTCAATGCCCGGCATGTCCGCCACACTCCAAGCGAAAATATCCACATATTCCCGAAGGACTGAGATGATTTCTTCTCGAAGTCCTCCAGGCAGGTCCCTGCCTATTCGCACCATCCTTGCCGGGAAGGCTTCCGGAGAACGATCTGCTCGGTCTCATCACCCGATTCCAGCTTTGACCGGTCTTCCTTCTGAGAGACCAAAGTGACTCTCTCAAAGGCCTTCGTCATTTTCTTTACAGCTTCCAAATAGCAATGTCGGGCCATCTTTTGATCTCCTCTGACTTGTCCTATACCGCCCGGGGTATAGAACTTCATACAGAGATGGGCCATGGAGATGACTCCACGGACCTTGTTTATCCCAGGCCGGCCCAAAATGGCATTGTGAACACATTTGATGTTCACAACCACAAACCTCATTTGTTTTTGGACGACCTGGTTGCCCGTGCCCAGCTCACAAATTAAAAGGATCAACCCTTCAGCTTCGACTGAGTCCCCGGTAAACCCAGACAGGGGAGTCTTTAAGGGCTCAAGCCGTGTTCGACACAACTTGAGCTTCTCAAATGCATCAAGGTACAACACGTTAACACTACTGCCCGTGTTAACGAGCACCCGGGAGACATCAACTCCACCCATGTCCATAGTTATCACCAGGGGGTCATTGTGATCCTCTCCGGTGGCGGGGAGGTCCCGGTCAGTAAAGGTGATCGGTTCCCGTCTTGCTTGTTTCGACTGGGGATTTAGGGCCACAGTTCCAACGTAGAGCTCTCGCCCCCATTTCTTTCTTTGGGAAGCAGAATCTCCCCCTTCCGGCCCGCTGTAAATGACTTGCAGATGCTCCTTGCCGGCTGCTTTCTTCTTCTTATTCTGTTCGGCCGGCTGTCCTTCAGGCCTAACCCATTGGTTTTTCTTTTATTTGGCCTGGGCCAAATATTCCGGATCGATCTCCCCGGCCTCAATCATCTACTTAATTACTCCCTTCACACTGTTGCACTCCGCAGTGTTATGGGAGTCAGTTTTGTGGAAGGAGCAATACTTCTCCGTCCATTGTTTTTCACCGGTCGGTTTCTTTTCTGATTTGACCGGCTTAACCTCCATGACTTCCTCCTTCGCTTTCCCAGGCTGTTCAATTTCCTTTTTCAAGGAAATTTTTCCTTTGGAATGGCCCTCCTCGGCCTCCCTCTTGGATGACACCTGTGCTTCGGCATCAGCATAATCCCAGGCCGTGTTGTAGGCCTCTTGGTATGACTGGGGAGGTCTCCTGCAGAACTCTTTATACAATTCTCCGGACCGGAGTCCAGACACTAGGAGGTACATGGCGGTTTTGTCGTCCATCTCCTCGACTTTATCAACCTCATCCTTCCACCGGGTGAGGAATTTTGTTAAATCCTCGTGCTCCCTCTGCCCAGCCGTGCTCAAGTAGGTAAACTTTTTCCTCTTGGCGCAGTTTTCCTTGAACTTCTCTTGGAACACCTCGGCCAGCTCATCGAAGGAATCGATCTCACCGGCCGGTAGGTTATGAAACCATTCAGCGGCTCGGCCGCGGAGGGATTGGAAGAAAAGTAAACATTTTTCGTCCCCGGAAAGGCCCATCATCCTTCCACTTTGATGAAGGGTTTTGACATGTATTTCTGGGTCCTCCTTCCCGGTAAACTTCGGGACCTCCAACTTTGCTTTCTTTGGAAATGGGGTCTCGTGAACCCGGTCTGTGAACGGAGATTCGTTCAACAGGATTTTCTTCTTTTCATCCCGGTCCACCCAGCGCTGCAACTTTTCCAAACGTGCTTCGACCCGGCCCACGCGATCTCGGGGTTGTTCAACATGGGAGCGGAACGTGTGCCTAGGATGGCTCTCCGCTTCTTCTTCATGGGGCGCCCGGCTATGTTGGGGCTCTTCGCGATGGGGAGGTTCCGTGCGCCTGGTCTGACCAGGTCGCTCGGCCCCTCTACCCAGGCGATCAAAAGCACTGAACGATGTTGTTTCCACTCCTAATCGTTCTTTGGCAGGCCGGTTTTGATTTCGGCCCTCGTGGCCAAGCCTTTGAAACACTGACCTCCTGGACCCTTCAGGTTGAATAGCTTTTCCCTTCAACTTCTTTTGAGCCTGGGGTACATCCCAATCCTCATCCCTGTTATGGACTGAGCGCACATCGCCATCAGGCGTGATCTGTGTGCGCGACCTCCGGGACCGACTCCTTCTGGAGCGGGATGGACCAGCTTTGTCCATCTCCCCGATCAGATTTGTCGGAACGACCGGGGGGATGATATTAGTTTGGGGCAGGGATTGTGGATACAACCCGAGGATAAAAGGAGAGAATCCTCCCGGTTGTTGAAACATGGACATGAATTGCCCAAAATTTTGAAACGCCTGTGAAAACGTCGGGTCCATGGGCCCGGGGAAATTTGGAGGAAAAATAGGGACAGAGGTGACGGGGGAAGTGAATGGAGTAGGTGTTGGAATGGTGATGATGGGGGTAGGAATTTGGCTTGATGGTTTGGCACTTCCCCCCGGGAACGAAGTAACGTTCTCAGTGATAGTAGAAATTTGTGAGATAACAGTCTCCTGGTTGCTTGCTATGACTTTTGTAATAGGTCCCACGGGTGGCACCAATTTGATGGAGTAAATTACCACGCAAATGCTAAGTATAAGTAATCGGGAGGGTTGTAGGTGGAAACACCTGTAACCCGGCTTGTTATTAATGAAAGTAGGAACTTATTACAATCAGTACAGGCCGTGTGGATTAATTAAAGCATGCCTCACAAATGAGGCTTTTAGGGGTATTTATATTAATCCTAAGCACGTCAAGCACGTCTCTGATTATCCAGCCGGTCAGGCGGCCGACCGGTCAACCAGGTGTACTTCGGAAAATAGGTCTTCTGTTATTGGCGTCCGGCCTTCCCATCTACCTGGTGAAATAACCCAGGCCGAGAAGGGCGCGCGCTGTCACTTGCATCACCACCCAGTCGGGAGAACCAACCGGGTGGTATCCATGGGTTATTACCCATCAGTAACGATAAGGTATCGATGTAATAAACTCATTATACTAGAACGTATATATGTTTTTTTGGGATGAAAGCAGTAGAAGCAAAGAAGCACTTTTCATATTCTTTTGGATTCTATGTTTAAATTAATGGTATGTTTGAGAATATGGATTTGGATTTCAAATCCAGATTTGGCTCAAATTTCATGTTTGGGAAATTTAAAAATTTTGAATTTAGATTTGAGTCAAATTCCTCTCATTCATAATAAAGCTTAATTTGAAATCCATGCATCTTCCTTTGTCATTTGAAATTCAAGATTTAAAATCTTGGAATTGAATGCATGAATTGAAATGAAATACTAGTTGTCAAACACTACCTAAATGCTTTTGAAATGCAGTTTGATTATTTTGGCACCAAGGCCTAGTATCATAATATGACAATAGTATAATTTGAAAGACTTACGGTGCAACTAGGGTGCAATGGGGCGGGGATGCACTGGGGTAGGGACCGAGGTGGACGAGTTTGGGGGAATTATGAGTAGAAATAGCCTTTGAATCGAACGAAGCACCGTAAAGGCTTCAAATTGGGCTAGTGACGTATTATGGCACTAGCCCTTTGTGTCAAAATAACAAGGTATTTAAAAAAACAATCACAAACACCACAAATCAGTAAGTATTTCATGTGTGTCCATATGACTGTTTATTCTGTTCAGAAACTCATACACCATTTCTATTGTAGGAAATGATTGGTCATCAACAAAGAATGTGCGTATTCTCTAGTCAATCTCAATCCAGCTACAACCAGGGTTTTTCTTCAACCCAACTTCTCTCATCTCCATTCTTATATCCAACAATTTGCCCCATTGTTTCCTACTTGCAAACATGTTTGGCATATTAAACAAATAACAACACCAGTTTGTGGTTGACCTATTCTTATGGGATTAGGAGAATGATAGTTTGCACTTGACCTATTCTTATGGCATCAGGAGAGTGACAGTTTGTGGCTGACCTACTTTTGTGGGATCAGAAGATAGATTTAGTCAAGGGTGCTTATTTTATGTGGCTCTTATTTAATTAGTTTATATAATAATTTAATTAGTTCCAGGTTTTTAGCTAAGGTTGGTTGTTACATGTAGCCTATTTATAGGCTTAGTTGTTCTACTTTTTTATTCATCAGTTTTTGCTATCAATAATAAAAAGAGTATTATTCATTCCTTNAATGATAGTTTGCACTTGACCTATTCTTATGGCATCAGGAGAGTGACAGTTTGTGGCTGACCTACTTTTGTGGGATCAGAAGATAGATTTAGTCAAGGGTGCTTATTTTATGTGGCTCTTATTTAATTAGTTTATATAATAATTTAATTAGTTCCAGGTTTTTAGCTAAGGTTGGTTGTTACATGTAGCCTATTTATAGGCTTAGTTGTTCTACTTTTTTATTCATCAGTTTTTGCTATCAATAATAAAAAGAGTATTATTCATTCCTTCAATTATCAATCTTTCTCCAGATTTCAGTTTGCTCATCTTTTCTTTTTTCAACAAGTGGTATCAGAGCCATTCATTTGTGAGAGATCACATATTATAGCTTTGTGAGAATTCTTGTTGTCAACAAAATGACGGACCTACAAGTTGTCAATGGTATGAAGAAGCTCAACAATAACAATTATAATATGTGGTCAACGTGCATGATGTCTTACATGCAAGGGCAAGACCTGTGGGAGATAGTCAACGGTAATGAGGTGGTTCAACCCATTGAGGATGCAAATGGATCCTTACGGAAATGGAAGATCAAGGCAGGAAAAGCATTGTTTGCCTTGAAAACAACAGTTGAAGAAGAGATCCTTGAGCACATCAGAGATGCTGGAACACCAAACGAAGCTTGGGTTTCACTAGCCAGGTTATTTTCAAAGAATAATAATTCCAAGCTCCAACTTTTGGAGAGTGAGTTACTCTCTGTTTCACAACGTGAAATGACGGTTGCACAGTTTTTTCACAAGGTGAAAACGCTGTGTCGGGAGATTTCTGAGTTAGATCCAGAAGCCGCCATCAAAGATGCCAGGATAAGACGCATCATCATCCATGGTCTCAAACCTGAATATAGAGGTTTTGTTGCTGCTATACAAGGATGGCCAGAACAACCATCACTTGTTGAATTTGAAAATATGTTAGCTGATCAAGAGGCGTTAGCTAAACAGATGGGAGGAGTCTCGCTAAAGAAAGAAGAAGAGGCACTCTACGTTAACAGAGGAAGACATAATTCAAAGCAGCATACTGGTGGATCTAAGAAAAGTGATGAAGAGACGAGGGATCGTCAAAATGAAAGGAAAAGCCGTGGAGGTGGAGCTTGGAAAAATCAAAAACAAGGAAGAAAGTTTGAAGGAATGTGTTTTAATTGCAACAAAAAGGGACACATGGCAAAAGACTGTTGGTCAAAGAAGAAGACTGTAGAAGGCAATACCGCCACTTCTACAGTAGAGAAAGAGTGGGATGCTGAGGCATTCTTTGCTACCGATGAAGCTGAGGTGGCATTGTCTGCCACAACAAGTCAGATTGACTATGGAAGTGACTGGATTGTTGATTCAGGTTGCTCGAATCACATGACCGGTGACGAAAAGAAGTTGGAGAATTTAGCAGATTACAAGGGAAATCGTGTGGTGGTAACCGCAGATAACTCAAGGTTACCGATAGCACACATCGGTAACGCTACAGTATCTCCTCAGTCTGGTGGTAAATAATTATCACTAGAAAAGGTCTATCATGTCCCAGGTATGAAGAAAAATCTCCTCTCGGTTTCACAATTAACCTCTTCTGGCCATTATGTCTTATTTGGTCCACAAGATGTAAAAGTGTACCGAGACCTAGACATTAATGAAGAACCAGTGCTGAAGGGGCAACGTCTAGAGTCCGTCTATGTGATGTCTGCTGAAACTGTATACGTAGACAAGACGAGAAGGAATGAGACCGCTGACCTGTGGCATATGAGGCTCGGTCACATTAGCTATTTTAAGCTAGATGTGATGATGCGGAAGTCAATGTTGAAGGGACTTCCTCAACTTGAAGTGAGAACTGACACTGTATGTGCGGGGTGTCAATATGGAAAAGCACATCAGTTGCCATTTGAAGATTCCAAGTCGAGAGCAAAGAAACCACTAGAGCTGATACATTCTGATGTGTTTGGGCCAGTCAAATAGGCTTCCATTAGTGGAATGAAGTACATGGTGACGTTCATTGATGACTTCTCAAGGTATGTGTGGGTTTATTTTATGATGAACAAATCTGAGGCTCTATCAAAGTTCAAAATGTTCAAGAAGGAAGCAGAAGCTCAGATTGGTAATAATGTTCATTGCTTACGCACTGACAATGGGGGAGAATATACCTCTGATGAGTTCTCAGATTTTCTTCTAGAATGTAAGATACGCCAACAATTCACATGTTCTGGCACACCTCAGCAAAACGGAGTTGCAGAGAGGAAGAATCGACACCTTGCAGAAATATGTCGCAGTGTGCTCCATGCAAAGAATGTCCCTGGACAGTTTTGGGCTGAGGCAATGAAGACTGCAGCATTTGTGATCAACAGACTTCCCCAACAGAGGTTAGGTTTCATTTCACCTTTTGAGAAAATATGGAATATGAAACCTGCAGTTGGTCATTTTCGAGTGTTTGGGTGTGTATGCTATGTCTTTATACCTGATCACTTACGGGGAAAGATGGAAAAGAAAGCTGTGAGATGCATTTTTGTAGGCTATGACAACCAAAGAAAAGGGTGGCGATGTTGTGATCCAGTAACCAGGAAGTGTCACACATCTCGAAATGTGGTATTTGACGAAGCTTCTTCATGGTGGTCTTCAGACAAAGAAGTCCTCCCTGATTCAGGCAACTTCAAAGAGTTATTTGAGTCCCCGGTTCATCTAGATCTAAAGGCAGGGGAGATTGAAGAAGAGAGTGGACCTAGCGAAGCTGATGGAAATCAGAATTCTAGGCAAAGAGGTGTGTATCAACCAGAAGGCAATGAAGACGAGTCCAATGAAACAAATATGCCACCTCCACCTAGAAGGTCAACAAGAATAAAGAAGGCAAATCCCAGGTATGCCAATGCTGCTATCGTAGAGGAACCGGTGTTTGAAGAGCCAAAGACATATGAGGAGGCATCTCAAAGCCCTGAGTGGATTAAAGCCATGGAAGAAGAGATTGTTGCACTAGAGCAAAACCAAACTTGGGAGCTTGTACCCAAACCGACAGATGTCAGACCTATTTCTTGCAAATGGGTTTATAAGATTAAGCGTCACACAGATGGCTCAATTGAACGATACAAGGCTCGCCTAGTTGCTCGTGGGTTTTCTCAACAATACGAATTGGACTATGATGAGACATTTAGTCCAGTGGCTAAGCTTACAACTGCCCGAGTCTTACTTGCACTTGCAGCAAGTAAAGATTGGCGTCTTTGGCAGATGGATGTGAAGAATGCATTTTTGCATGGCGAGCTTGATCGGGTGATTTTTATGTGCCAACCAATGGGATTTCAAAGTCAAAATCATCCAGAATATGTGTGCAAGCTTCGGAAGGCTCTCTACGGACTTAAACAGTCACCGAGAGCTTGGTATGGAAAGATTTCTGAATTTCTTCTCTATAATGGCTATACGGTGGCACATGCAGATTCTAGCTTATTTGTCAAAGTAGCTGGAGGAAAGCTTGCAATTGTATTAGTGTACGTAGATGACCTGATTTTAACAGGCGATTCCGAAGAAGAAATTCTCAGAACAAAGAAGAATCTTTCGGTACGTTTCCAAATGAAGGACCTTGGGCCACTTAACCATTTCCTTG